AGGCCATGCATCGATGCATCCATCGGGTTTTTGGATAAAAACCCCGCTTTTCTTCATTTTCTCAAAACCCTTTCAAACACTCTTAGTCGCCGTTCGTCCCTCTCCCCCCTAAACTCTCCATTTGCTTAAAATCAACAGAAAATAGTCGGAATCCAACTGTTCTTCAACTCCGAATCCTGCTAACATCATTAAATCGTGCAAAACATCATCACATTCCACTCAATTCGAATTTTTCAAGGTATTTTTCCAAAATCCTCTATTTTGATTTTAGAACTAGTTTAGATTAGTTATAGGATGAACATTACATCGGGCATTGATTATAGTATGATTCTAAACTAGATTTTACAATCAATTTCGTCAAAAACAAACAATTTTTCAACATTATCTTTGAATTTTCGAAATAAATTTTTTTTTGTTATTTTCGAGAATTATTGATGTTTTTGATTTAATTGTATTGTTTTCATAAAACTATATGTATTATGATATTCCCAATGTTATTTTCAAAAAAATTTCAAAAACATGCCCATTAGGATTCGATTTAGAGAACCTTGAATTATTGCGGACTCAATTGAGTTTTGGGATTGATTATTGTGCATATATGTGTTTCAAAATTACAGGTTTCATTCCTAATTATGATTTCTTAAACCATGTCAAACCCTAAACGCCCTAGAACTTCTTCTAGTCATTCTAACCGACCTCCTAATCCTATTCCTCTTCAATCTCCAAATCCAAACGATCCCAATATGACCATTCTAAACTCATGTTTTAATATGTCTGAGCGTCGTAGATAAGAACTCTACCATAGGTACATGGATTCCTTCCAAACTTACAAAATCCGGGAAGAACATATTCCCTCTGTTCAAGCCATGGTAGATATCAACTTTCAATACCTACCGACTCTTAAGTCCTGGAAGTTTGATAAACTGTTTCACCTTAAACCTATTGTCTATCATCAGCTGATCCGTATTTTCTACTCTAATGCGGTATGTATTCAAAACGAGAGTCAATGTGGGACTATAGGAATTAAATCCTACCTTTTAGGACAATATATTCATATTGACACCGAGACTATAACTAAACAATTTGGGCTATATGACAATGGTTTACATAATGAGAAAGAAACTGTGGCATATCATATCTTCCTAATGCTAGTGTTAGTACCTTACATACACATCATGATCATTTTCTACATTTAATGATCTCTTGGTGGTTTCGACCATCCGGAGGTAGGTATTCCACTCTTCGTGTCAAGGATTTATGGTGGATGCATTGTATCCAGCATAATAGAAAGAAAAATTTGCCACAAATCATTTTTAGTGAACTAGTAGATACCATAAATATTGTCCCTTCTAAACATGTCGAAACTTTAGTTTATGGGTGTCTACTTAGTAATATTTTTATCAAACTTGTCCTTTGAGTCTCTCTCGACAATCTCATCCCTCTTCAAAACCAAATCAATCTCACCTCTTTGAAGAAAGCTGATTGAAAACAGGACGAGAAAACTGGTCAATTGGTCTTTCAACCCAATAAGCAAACTCCGGGAGCCAGTTCTTCACGTTATGCTCCTAGCTCTTCTCGTGCTCCTCCTCCTCCTCTGGCACTGACTGCTGACGACGATTCCAAGCTTCAACAGCTTATGCAAGATATTGACGATCACATACCAGACGATGAGCCTGCACCGGAACCAGCACAACAAGAATATCAAACGCCACTATATTTTTGACATTTCTTAGAGTCGTTTGATTTGAGGTTTGCTTCCACGGAGTCTCAGATAACTGAATTTCAATGGGAGATGCGTGAACGTATGGACGCTCTCACTCTTGAAGTACGAGCACATTATCCTCCTCCTCCCGACCCTCCGATGGAGTAGATCTTTACTTGCCATGCTTTCTTGAACTTAAAACTTGGATTGATAAACATTTTGTTGTTTTTGGATTGTTTTACTTTGGTTGTTGAATGTTTGAATTGGTTTGGATTTATGAATTGGATGATTGGATGTTTGAACTTAATATATATATATTTGGTTTGGTTTTAACTTTCTTTTTGAGCTTAATGTTTATTAATTTTTGCATCATTTACATATTAGTTGCATTATGACCAATTATGCCATTTCACATTTGATTATGAATATTGAATTATGAAACTAATGGCTAACCTTTCTCTTGATCTTTGATATTAGCAGCTTAAACTATATTTATAATCAATTGGCTATGCTTTTCAAAACCTTGTTTAACGCGTTTTAAAGTTTTTTTTTTGATTTAACAAAAAGGGGGAGAAGTGTTAAAGTAAGGGGGAGTAATTTTTCAAACTTAATTTCAAAATTTATTAGAAAATCTTAAAATCACTAAAATGTTTTGTTATATCAAAATGGGGGAGATTGTTGAAAACAATTTGATGTTTCGATATAACAAATTGAGTTAAATGAATTTTAAGATTTTACAAATGATTTTCTAAGTATATTCGATTGAATTACTCGAATATCAAAATATTACTCCAAGTCTTTCAAAGTTCAATTTCAATCCTTACTAATGTGTAAAATTGTGTTTTATACTTAAAATATTTTTGAAACAATTTTCACAAAGTATTTCGAACAAAAAACGAGCCAAAAATCAAAATTGAGAAAGGATGCACCGATGCACTCATTGATGCATCGATGCACTCACTATATCGAATACATTTTATGCATCGATGCACTTCCATGCATTGATACACTCAGGTTTTATGAAAAACATCGAATGCATTTTATGCATCGATGCACAGACCATGCATCGATGCACTTAGGCTTGTTTGAAACATCGAATGCATTTTATGCATCGATCCACTCTTAGTGCACTGATGCACTAAGGGTCCAACGGGCGAAATATTTGAATTTACACATAGTATATCGATGCACTAGCCCTATGCATCGATGAACCAAACGCTCCCAACTGTTTTATTAATTGTTTTCACACTTAAACGGCTCCATTGACTCCACTAATCATCCCCAACGTTCATAATTAATTGAATGAGTATTTAAACAAGCTTAGAAGCCATTGATCAATAACAAGAAACAACAATCAACAAGAATCAAGAGAGAATCAAAGAGAAAGCATCAAACTCATTGTTTGAGCATTTCAAGCCTATTTTTCATTCAATATTCATTTTGCTTTCAAGAACACTTCTTGTACTCAATTGTATTCATTCTTGAGTGTTCTTTCTTTGTTCTAGAATTGTACAAACAATCTACCTTGTGAGGTTTTCCTTGTAAGTTTGCAAATTTGTAATATTCTCTTTGAGAAATAGTGTTCTCAAGAATTGGGGTATATTCTTGAGGGAGTTGTAAGGTTATCTCTTTGGCCTCAAAAGAAAGAACAAATTAGTGAATTTGTTAGAAAATCCTTAGTGTGGATAGCTAAGGCAGTGGACGTAGACTTTGGTTGAGAAAGTCGAACCACTCTAAATCGCTGTGCAATTACTTTCAATTTTCTGCAAAAGCTTCCTCCAAAATTTTAATTGCCAATTCAGCCCCTTCTTGTCCGATTCCATATATCAATTAACTCAACAAAAGGTTTAAGACTTTTTTAGGCTTAAGGGTTTTGAGGTGTTTGTTTTAAAATATGAATTGTGAGAAGAAGTATTTCAAGAAGACGAACAATATACCTTAAGATTAGCCTCATCGAATGACCATTAGAAGAGATTAAAGTATTAGCACGTTGAACTTTAATTTTTTGTCGATTCTTAGTTGATTCGTGAAAAACAAATATTTGGAGAAGAAAGATGAGTGAAATGTAAACATTTTGATACCGATCTTTCTATAAAAGACGACTAAGGACATACGATTGGATGTCAACATTGATTGAAAAAAATAGTGGTAAAAATGAATCCTTTTAAAGTTTAGCAAACAAATCAATACACTTCTAAAATTCAGTACTTAAACGACATTATTTTAGACATTTATAGAAGTGTCTATATCATTTAATGATGAAGAAATCTATATGATCGTGCCGCAAAAATTTAAGAACCAAATGACATAGTTAAAATTAAAATTAAAATTTAATATGAAGAAATTATAATTTTGATAATAAAAATGTTTAATACTAAAATAAGTGTCTAAATTATACCTAAAACCATGAATAGGTGTCTAAACTATTTTTTGACTCATCCAAGTGCCTAATGTTACAAACGTTACCCATTTAGGTGCTCGGGCCATCAACAACGTTAATTTTCTCGTTAAGTGTCACGTGTCAGAATCTAGTTATTTTAAAAAAATTATTTAAAATTTTAAAAATAAAATTATATATAATTTTATAATTTTAAAGAAAAACATAAACATTTTTGAAATAAACCAAAATCTTTAAAAACATTCATTTCAACCCCTAAACCCACGCCGACCATCGCCATTTGTCGTCGACGAAGCTCCACCAGACTTCATCTCCCTCTGGCGACAAAAACTCCCATGAAACCGTGACCAATCGACAACGAATCGACATTTTATACCTCATGAACCGTAGGATGAAAATCGCGATCATACGCAATCTCGATGGCCAATCAACGATAACTACGACGACATGTGACTAGGATTATGACAAGGACTACGTCGGCAACGACGGTTGTGGTCGAAAGGAGTACGACGACTGTTTAAGGATAAGATTAGAGATTTTAGGATTTTTTTTTTACAATTTAAAAGAAATTAGAGTTCTTTTATAAATATAATAATATTTTTTAAAAGATAAATTTTAAAATCATCAGATCGTAACACGTGTCAATTAACAGAAGAAATTAATGTCGTTAACAGCTCGGACGCCTGAATGGGTAATATTTGGCACATGAATGAGTTAAAAAAATAATTTAGACACCTATTCAAAATTTTAGGTTATAGTTTGAGCATTTTTTTTATATTAAACATAATAAAAACTATACACCCTTTAAAATTCAATGATATGGGGGTAATTTACCCAAAAATTAAAAGGAAAGAAACGTAAACGGCGAGAAAGAAGATTAAAGAAAACACACAGTAGAAACGACAAGAAAGAGAGGCTATTCTAATTTTCCGACAAGAATTTGTTAATCTCAAAAAAGTTGTGTCCTTCAAAGGAGTATGAGCACCTCAAATCTGGAACGTCTGATAACCTAAAGATCTTCACATATAGTATAACCTGATGCCATCGGAAGTACATATTGTGGTTCAGACAATGATCCCAAAGTACAAACACCAAATCTCTTCTGCTTTCTTCAATGGTTTCCCTGTCCTTATTTTCTTCTATTCTCTAATAATGTAAAAACGAAAAATGAAATCTTTTCTCAGTTTCTCAGTTTACCTGTGCGCCAACTGCACGTTTTTGTTTTTCTTTGCAGTGCTTATCTGAGTTTCAACAACATTTTTAATAGTGCACGAGTTCTTCTTCTCTTTAAGCTCCTCTCTCTCTCTCTCTCTTGCTGAGCGTTTACGAAGATGATCCATTTTTTCTCATTTTATGAGTTGATGAATCGTTAATGGAGTTAAAAGGGTCGGATACTTCGATGCTAAACTATGTAAATTCCCATGTTTTATGTCAACTTGTACAAAATCCGGCCAAAGCTTGAAGCTTTGATCGTATCGAGTGTTGATCCTCAAAATATTCCAACTTTATAGCATCATTTTTCCCAAAAATGTCATCACTAGAGATGTCCCACATCGATTTAGAGCAAGGGACTCACCGCCGCAACGGGAGTGACGAAAGCGCCGGAGAGGCAAGCGTCTGCTTCTCGGATGGCGACGAGGGCCCTTGCTTCTCTCAGTTTTATTCCACTGCAGGTGGTTCTCAAGACGACTACAGTATCGCCTACGGAGAAATCGGCGCGTCGGATAGGAGGAGGGGATCTTCGGCCTCGGATTTCTCGGTGGAAGCGGAGATTCAGGGGGGGGTCCCGGAGATCAAGGTGCATTCGGCCAAAGTTGAGAGGGATTGTAGAATTTGCCATTTGGGTTTGGAAAGTAATAGCCGTGAATCTGGGGTTCCTATCGAACTTGGCTGTTCTTGTAAAGATGATCTTGCTGCTGCTCATAAACACTGCGCTGAAGCCTGGTTTAAGATCAGAGGAAATAAGTAAGTAAAACAATTCTAACATTTTTAACTTATTGGTGAAAACTACAATTCTAACATATTTTAACTTACTGGTGAAAACTATCTTTTCATGGAACTTTTGATGATTGCATAGACTAGGAATTAATTACTGTTTCTTGACAATGTTTTTACAGTTTACTATCCAGACATACACTAGAGATTGACTGTAATATGATAACTGATTATTTTGATGTTAGTTTTGCAATCCTAGCTTGTTTGCCAGCAGTTGTACCATCTGAACATTACACTTAAGTGGTTGCTTAGGCCCCAATCCCCTAATTGACTTGGATGATTGATCAGATAGGATTTGAAGCTCGAAAACTCGACATATTTGGAATACTGGTGAAGAATGCCTGCTAAGTGCTATTGATATCACAGTCTGTAATTGTTGAGCATGATTTCATTATGTATAATGGGAGATTCTGATAACTTTAGTAGTTTCAACTTTTAATAACGTATGATTAACAGATATTCTTTCTTCCGATGGAGTGTTGGCTCCTCTTTGTACCGAGTTTCATCGGTATTGAAATCTTTTTCCCTGCAATTTATCCTATCCCTTAGTCTGTTTTATTGTTTTAGCACTTGCGAGATTTGTCATTCAACTGCACGCAATGTAGTTGGAGCGAACGAGACTGAGTCAATAGACCAAACGAACGAGACGAACAGTTCCGCGACAATAATCTCAGGACCGACACACCATACGGACTCTCAAAGCTTCTGGAACGGCCATCGCATCCTCAACCTTCTCCTAGCTTGCATGGTATTTGCATTTGTTATCTCATGGATCTTTCACTTCAATATGCCATCATAAAATTCAGTTGCTGTGAAACGGAATTACTGTAAAGGAGCCTGGCGAAACTTGTTGCTGTGATGATTAATAATGGGATGGTTGATAGTCATTTTGTTCACCCCATCTTCATACATGTGAAAACTTTTGGTGTTATCTTTCGTTTAGTGTTCCGCTGGAGTAGCTTGCTATCCCTCGGCTAAACACGCAAGCGGATACCGATATAGAGCAGTGGGATACTCAAGGGGACAAACAACCGTTGCATGGCATCTCCAGGGACCACTTTTGGTCGCTCATTCAAGTAAATCAAGCAGCGCTTGGCATAGATTATTATTTGATGACACCACTATCTCGCCATCAATGAACTAAATAAGACAAACAAGATTCTTTTGAGTCTATCCGATGCTGTTCTAATAAAAATCTTCACTTTGTAGCTCTTTAATGCACAAGTGGTCGACCTGGAATGGGTGTGCATTAATGTGGCAATCCAAGTACAAAATTGTAAATAACTTTTTCCCTTTGACAAAAGCGAGCCAAGTTCTTCACCTTGCAGGAACAAATCAAGGGGTCCATGTCTAACAGGTGTTGGCATAAGCTTAACCACCCACTTGGGGGTCCTACCCACTTGGGGCTCCAGAGGACCCCCATTTGGCTATTTTCCCCTGTATAGAAAGTGATGGTTATTCAAACATGCAACAACTATGCAATTGTAGCATCATCTCTAACCTCTCAATCAGACATTGCCGCAAGTACATACCAAACCAGTCGGTTGTTCTACCTAGTTTGTGCCGACAGTTACTTAACCCCTCAATCAGACATGTTTGCATATGTGCTCCTCAGCAAGGTAACGTTGCTCTATTGAAGACAACGTGCATGTCAATCCAACATTACAGACACGACCATGAAAGGTGCAGCAGCCTGGACATTATTGTGCCCAATCATTCGTACTAAAAAAAGGGAGGCAAAAAAATTGTGCAAAATTGAACATTCAGACAATACGCATTAGTTTACATCATCATCACATGCATCATCTGTAAAGGCATGGAATGTCATGTGCTCTTCCATTTTAGTTGCAGGGATCACAGGTGTTTTTAATGCTTGGCTACTAGAAAAAACCACTTGCAAATTGCAATGCCTTGACAAGAAACATAAAGATTCAATACACTTAAATACTTCATCTCGATAGCATTCGGCATTGTTGAAAAAAAAAAAACGGAATTTCTAACAAGCATCAGCGTGAGAAAGAGAATCACAGTGGCAATCGGAACTATGAAAATTCCATGATATATGTAGGATGCTGATGATGATGGCTGATGACTTTAATCAAGACAGGGAAGGAAAGCACAATGTACAAGTGCACTACTCATTTCTGCTTTCTTAAGAATACAAATCAAATTACCAGTACTGGAAAAGGCTTAGCCTTTCTTCCAAGATCAGATGGATTCGAGCAGCACAGTTACAATGATAAAAAGCAGCTTCCATCATCTATGCACCATTCATCGCAGTATCGACATGGATTCCGTTTGCATCTTCCAGAACCTGGCCATTAACTTGAGTTCTCGGCCTCTAAACAAATAATATAAAAACATAAATGCCGATATAAATTGGATATCACCATGAAAAAATTCAAAGAGGAAACATTAGCATATACAATTACTATACCCAATCTGCAGAGTCTATGGAATTCCCATTCAAGAGCTTCTGGTTCTCTTCTTTGGTCTTACTATCCTTGTCTTTGGTGCTCAAGGGTAGCAACATTGGTAAATTTCCACTGGTTCTGTCACGCAATTCTGCAGTAATATCTTGGTGTTAAAACTACTGGGTAAAGTTATGACCTGACCAACAGAAATCGTATAGGTTATACCAAATTAGATAAGGTACAAAGTCGAAAGCATTCTAATTTCTAACCTGGCAGTTTCTTGTCCATGAATAATACCACTAAATTAACAGTATACCTGTGCAGAGTGCATACTGAAGTCAAAATCAATTAGAAATTTCAAAAGGGTACTTCATACCACTAAATCGTATAGAAATTTCAAAAGGGTACTTCATACCATGCGACAACTACGTCGACCGTATAATGTTTGCGGGTTGCCACAATCAAGAGACTTTGGCTGATGGCTACTAACCAAGCTAACTGCTTTATACACCTGCAATTAGACAACAATACCATCAAAAACCAAATAATTGTCTACTCTTATGTATAGCAACATAACAAACTCGAATTCTTTGCCCCAATTACTAATAGCTGATGGGATCATGCCATGTGCTGCTATTGATGCCGGTGCGGAATTCGGTGTGCCTGTTTTAGCTTTTCGTACGTCTGGTGCCTGCTGCATTTGGACTTACTTCCATCTGTCCATGCTCGTTCAACAAGGTGAAGTTCCAATACAAGGTTAGTTTTGGGGTAATCTTCATCTTATTCAAACTAATAAGTTCTGATATCTTTATTTCATTAATACCTCATAAAGACATGAACACGTCTGGCCGTTAACCTCTGTTATAAGCCTCATAAAGACCATGAATTCAAACTAATAGGTTCCTGTAAAGATGTTACGTGACCTTAATGTGATTGCAGATACAAACATGGACGAGCTAGTGACCAGAATTCCAGGTTTGGAGAATGTTTTACGACGTTGAGATCTTCCAGGTATTTGTAGGCTCGAGAGAGCCGACGATCCACTCGTCAATTTCTATATCGCCCAAGCTTCCGCCGCCGGACGAGCATCTGCTCAAAAACTCAACACGATCCATGAACTGGAAGCACCCATTCTATCTAAACTCCGTACCGTTTTCTCCGAGCTTTACTCCGTCGGCTCTTTGCATGCTTTCTCAAACGTAATCATAAACGACGACCTAACTGCTTTAGCTTCAACAAGTATTTTCTGGAAAGAGGAAACACGTTGCATCACTTGGCTTGATTCTCACCCACCGAAATCAGTCTTGTTCGTTAGCTTCGGTAGTTTAGTGAAGTTCACATCTGACCAAATGCTCGAGCTTTGGCATGGCTTGGTTAACAGTGGGAAATCGTTCCTGTGGGTCATTCGATCCAACTCCATCACTGGAGAAGACGATGATCCAAGTAAAAACTGACGGAGCTCAATATAAGTGCAAAAGATAAGGGGTTGACCGTGAGTTGGGCACCTCAAGAGGAGGTCTTGACTCACTCAGCTGTGGGTGGAACTCAACTTTGGAGAGTATTTATGCAGGTGTTCCTATGATTTGTTGGCCTGCATTTGCTGATCAACAGGACAACAGCAGATGCGTGAGTGATGTGTGGAGAGTCGGCTTTGACATGAAAGATAGCTGCCACAGATCCATTGTGCTTTATTAATGGTATAATGTTTGTTTTATTTGTTAGGTGTTGTGTTATAGGGTTTTATTACAACTTATATTAATTATTTTTTGGATTATTTGTAATTAAATATTGTCGAGGTTTAGGAATTATGTATAGATTAAAATCTTGTCTTCTTTTTGTGCATCTTCAAAACTCGTATCGATGTGATATTGTTGGAGTTTATGATCCCAATTTTATTTAATCTAATGCGAATGAATTGTTAATTATTATGAAAAATTATGAGTTGATATTATCTCATTGTTGAACCAAGTTTTATAATGTTTTAATATAACAAGTTAAGGCAAAATTTTTTTAGACTTAATTGAATTTGTTTAAAATTTTCAAAAATTTTTCACAAATAATTCAAAGTCCATAAAACTAGAATTTGAGCACAAAAATGTTTTTCAAAGTATGAAGTACCGATATTGTTCACGTGATATCGATATCAAATGTAAGAGAAGTATCGATACTCTAAAGGTAGTATCGATACTACCTTTTCCAAATAGCTCAAATTTCAGAATGCAAAATAGATACTGATACCCAAAGGGGTACCGGTACTACTTTACACAATAGTATCGATACCATGGTCATAATATTGATATTGGTTAGGCCCAATGACTAGTAAAGATTAGTTTATTTAAATATTATAAAGAAAGTACCGATACTCATTAAAGGAGTATTGATACTCCTTTTCTTGGACATTTTTATTTTGCATAAAAATTATCCCAACGGCTCCAAATCATCCCAACGGCTAAAAACGGCCACAAACACATTCCAACATATAAAAACAAGCTGAGGACACTTGAACAAGGGTTATAACACTTATCCAAGCAATCAAACATAAGAGAAAGAGCTTTTAATTATTATTTTCCTTTATCTTGTAAATAGAAGTGATTTTATGAGCTTAATCTTGTAAACATCTACCTTTTAGAAGTTTTATTGTTTACTCTTTTTATTCATTTTGTAAAAGGGAGTGGTTCTAGCTTAGCCTTTGAAAAATTAGGGATTTTCTAAAGGTTATATTTGTCCTTGAAAAATAAAGAACAAATTAGTGAATTTGTTACAAAATTCTTAATGATGAGCTAAGGTAATGAATATAGATTTAGTTGATAAGTCGAACCACTATAATTTTTTTGTGCCAATTGTCTATCTTTTTAATCTCCTTACTACCTATTCTCAAAAACCAGTTCAATCCTTCTTGGTAAACTATTCAATTGTCAATTTGAGCTTCACCGAATATCCCGACACTTATAATCATTTTATACTCTTCACACTACTAGTTTGCATTAATTATATAAACAAATCAAAATTATTTTATGCCAAAATGTTGTAGCAGAAGGACAATTATCAAAATTTGCAGCAGTCTTGCCTTGGCTTTGGAGAAATCTATCAACTCAATCTCGAAATGGACAATAACTATTGGTTTGTTGGGTCAATTTTGGTGTAGAATGATTAAATATTGTAAATTTTGGTGTTTTTTCCGAAATATCATTTATGCCCTATAATTTTTTTCTTTGTCATACACCTTTCAGATTATTTTTTTCGATCTAACACCCTTTGCAGTAAGGCGTGCCCCATGCAACGCGCTTTACGCAGACATGGACACACGTGTCTAAAGCGCGACCCTTCGGGTACGCCTTACGTCACATAGGGCTATAACGCGGGTCAAGGGCCGCGCTTTTCAATTATCATATGCTTAATTATCATACATGCATAATGCAAGGCGCAGTGCAGGGACCGCGCCTTGCATTATTTACCCGACCTCTCGGCTTTAAAGCATTATCTCTCGGCTATAAATAGCCCTCTCACCGTAAACTCTCTCACAATTCCCTCTTAACCGAGAAATTAATACAACAATCCTTTCAACCAGTAAATAACACCCGACAATCCTCTTATATTTAATTCAGAAGTTCGTTCGGTCTTTTGTTATAAGATTTTTTATTATACTTATTATTTATTATAATTATTTGAAAAAATATTATAGTAATTGTTTTCAATTAATTTATCTGCCAGTTCAAGGGGAAAGTGGGAACATACATCGAAATATTTTTGCGGTGCATGTAATATAAAAAATTATATTATTTAAGTTATTTATATTTATTTGTAAAAATTTTATTGTGTTATATTTTCGTTCATATATTATTTATTTAATCATGTTTATTTCAGTTGTTTTTTCGCATATATAATATTGTTGCACTTTCCGGGACATCGTTAAAACTTTCCGGGACACATCCTAGATAGTCCCGGCACAAAGCAATCCACGAACCGTGCGCCATCCCTGATATCACATCTCCATCCACCGAAAGCCCCAGGTGCATAGAAACATCCTCAAGTGTAATTGTGCACTCTCCGCACGGAAGATGGAATGTGTGGGTCTCCGGTCTCTACCGCTCCACTAAGACATAAATAAGGTATGATTCTATCTTACAGTGACCCTCATATCTACCTATGTGACCGAATCCAGACTCTACTAAATACGGCAAGACACAGCTAGGTACCACTATCTTAAGATTGCTAATAAAATGATCTAATACACGGTTACTCTCCTAAAATTAAATAATTACAAAAATTAATTTTTAAACTAATAATCATGCATTAAATAAATAAATAAATAATTACTAATAATTTAAATTATATTAAAACGTTAAAATGTTACCGTATCAGCAAAATATTGCGATATATGATTTCTATCCAAGCGAAGTAGACCTCCTTCTATTTTATATATGCAAAAAAAATTAAATAAATAAAATATTAAAAAATTTAAATACTTAAATAAATTAAAAAAATATTAAATATAATAAAATATAACTTAAACAATTAAAATATAATATAAGAGTATTTGAGAGAAGTTGAGAGGATTTGGTGTGATGAAAGTGATTGAGAATGTGAGTATTTATAGGGAGGGGGTGGGGTGTGAACGGCCGGGGTAGAGGGTAATTAAACCTAAGACGTTGCCTCGCGCTACACCCCACGTGGAGCCAGATCAGCGTAAAGCGAGCTGTAGGGGCGCGCCTTACTGCAAAGGGTGTTATATCAGAAAAAATAATCTAAAAGGTGTTGAAAGGGAATATTATAGGGTATAGGTAATATTTCGAAAAAAACGCCATAGATTTCAAATTAATTTTAAAAATAATCTAATAAATTAATATTTTAACCCGCTTGGTCTATTAGGCCAATTCACATGCTTTCAATGGGATTGTATTTCCGAAGGTGTCAAAGGAAACAAAAACAACCTTCTTCAAATCAACTAACCCACATGCTTCTTTTTTCTGTTTAAATCGGGTAATTAAGGGAACTTACTGTATCCTCCATACAATTACTACATAGATGATTGAACTTGTAAAATACAAAAACTATTTGAACAGGCGTATTCGACTGACTTCTTCAAGTAAAATCAACCATTAGAACACCAGAGCTTTAGATTAATGGTATTTCTTCATCAAAACATGCGTAGCATATACGTAACGAAATACAAATGGAATGAATATACGTATTATATACAAGGGCTCTTCAGTCCGAACCAGAAGCCATGTTGTGTGCTAGGGAACAAAGCCGTACGCTGACTGTAAAGCTTATCGTTGGTATTGAAAGGTTCAAACGACCTTATCTGTCACCAATAATGCATCCATCAAACGTCGTCATCCTTTTACAATAATAAAAGCTTTGCGGTGTGGCTGTTAGTGTTAAAATTGAAGGGATCCCAGATAGCAGGTCCAGTTGGTTGAACCACCGTGGAATTTGTAATACAAATTGACATAAAGGGAAAGCGATGTTTGTTTCCCAATCTCCATTATAGTCTAATACAAGTGCTGTACTGGTCTTCCTTTTTATGGAGAGATTAGTGAAGATGTGCAATAGGATTATGTCTCTTACTCGTTTTTCCATATTTAGAAAAAGGCTTAATACCAAAATAGGTATCCAAACTATACCATTATTCCCAAATAGGTGCCTAAACTATTTTTGAAAAAAATATTTAAAATCTTAAAAAATTAAAAAAAAAATCTTAAAAAATTAAAATATTATAAAAAAACCTTTTCCCCTTTCCCTTCCCCCTACTCTCTGCTTACATAGCCAAAGGTCAAACGGCTAATTAAATGGCCAGCCACCGTAGTTGAATAAACGGTCAATTATCACGATCAAATTTAAAGATTTGAACATTTGAGATTTTAGGGATTATATATTAAAATTTAATGATTTATAAATTTAAGGTTTAAGATGGTAGTAAGTATAACGATCGGATATTAGGTGGTCGATGACGTATGGTTGGCCGATTGTTGGTGATGGGTTTTTGGAGATGATCGACGATGTATGAACGGCCAATCGCCAGCAGTGAGTGGTTGAAGTAAATGAAACTAAAATAAAAAAATTTAAGATTTTGATTTTTTTTATATTTTAAAAAAATTGGAACTTTTTCAAAAAATAAAATTATCGTCGGTTCATATATATATATATATATATATATATATATATAATATTTATAACGTTAAATATTTACCTGAATAAAAAAATTGGACACTTAAGTAGAATTAAGCCTTGAAAAATGTTCCCAGAGTTGTTACAGTGATACAGACCATTTTCTCCCGTAAATTTGTTGATTAGTGAATGAAGGGCTGTTGTTGCTTTTGGGTATGAAGAAAAGATGTTGATGGGATTTTGCAAGCGAAATCCAATAATATAACCATATCGTTACCGACGACGAGACCATAGATAAACAAAAGATTTACTCGTAATCATAAGTTCACCAGAAGCCGTTGCTTGGCAACTCTGTTCTTACTGTTTTTACTGCATGCGAGGCTCACAATTAGCCATAAGTACTCATCAACACCGCCAAATTCATGTATGCACCACGCGTGCCCCTCCCAATGATAAAAAGCATCTCTTTCTTCTGCTTTTTCAACCTCCTTTCCACTTTCATTTAACAACTCTATCATTGATACTTTCAAAATTACTAATTATCTTACAAAATGAAAGCTTTTGCATATAACAAAGGTGAGATCCAGCTGCGGCCTTGCCAGGCACTGGGCACAGCAAAGATGCAAAATTACATCTTCTACACACATCAACCAATTCATTAAATATTCTTTTACTTAAAAAGGCCATCTTAAACCATAATGGCTAGTAAATGACCAAACGGCTCCCTTGTTATTACAACTGTTTCCATTGCCACCGTAATAACAAATCACCCCATGTGCTTAGACAAAATACCCTGTCCCCTTTCATTTCATTAAAACATTTTCACTTGTCAACAACAAAATTCATAAACTTATTAACCCAAGATGCTTCATAACTAGAGATTCTTACTTTATTTTTTTCACCTACGCCTAACCCAAATAACCATTTCATCTTCTTAAAATAACCCAGAGATTTTCCTTCTTGAAAGACTATACTTCTATACTAGTATTTCCCTATAACAAAACCCTAACATAGAGATAATTAGTCGACCACCGGTCGATATGCTAAGTTGAGAGTCAGTATGTCCATTCCTGAGGTAACCCCACTTCGTGATTTATTCCTTGATGTTGCCTGAAATTACGTTGCTTTTGATTGGGAAACACATTCTCACCACTTCGAAGCATCCTCAAAGCACCATCTGCAAGTATACAACGAAGTCAAAAAGAAAATATATACAGCTATTAACGCAAAATCTAATTAGATTGACGTGATTTCGAACCAGTATCTGCAGTGAAATTAGCGTTGAAACGGGGATGAATTTGGGGCTGGGCGCCAATCTCATCGAGATTCAAGTTCAATGCCTGAACAACTCTTGCCGGAAGAAGAACAGTAGGACAAGCTGCCAAAATAATCAAAAGATAATAAAAACAAAATCAGATACTGATAAAAAAGACAAATTAATGCATTTTGTATGGAATGAGAGAAAATATGAGATGAGGACCTGACTTCTTGCGGGGTTCAGAGGGTGCACCAATACGGCGAGGCAAGAAAACACCAGTTCCAGCACATTCCCTTTTGGCGGTGGGATGGTTCAAGTAAACAGCCTGCATACCCGATCCGTTCGTCATCCGGGTTTGCTGCTTAAGAGGAAGGCATGCAGAAGGAGACAAACCCATAGGCCTATTAGTACTATTGTTGCTCCTCGCTCTATTTTGAACCACATGGTGATGGTGCTGCTGTTGATGCTGCTTTTGCTTCAAAATCTGAAACTGATAACAAAAAAAAACAAATTTATATAAAAATCCACACTGAAAGAAGCATTTTTATCTCTGTTTTGTGGTTTTTTACTTGTGCGGCCTGCAGCTCCTGGCGTGAAAGTGACTGCGGAGGCTGGCAAAAGCAGGAAACATCGATATTTTGAGAGAGCTTTGTCGCCGGCGAACGTAATAGACCTGTGTTGTTGAATCCACCGAATGATTTTTCATTCACGGGCATCCTAGCAACTTCCCCTGCCGCCGCATACAGCAGATCCCATGTTCCCGACGGCGACGAAACACGAGACTGACAAGTAGGGCTTCCACGGCTAGACCCTTGCATGCAGCCGCAGCCGCTTCTCAACGGACATAACGTAGATTGCGGCGAACTTGGCAATACCCAACCCTAAAAAAACAAAAAAACAACTACAATAAGAAACCATCATTAAACCAAATAACTCAGTTGAGAAATTAATGGTTTAGAACGTCAACAAACCTTAGGGTTTTCAGCGGCAAAAACACACTCGTTTCTGCGAATACCGCTGCGAAGAGTAGAGTGAGCCATTTGACGAGTTAACCCGGCGAGATAATCCTCTTCATCACTCTCTGTCTCAATAGAACCCACCACGGACTCCACCGGAGAACTTGGATTCGAAGAGAAACCCAAATACCCAAACCCATAAGGGAACCCGTAGGGAAACAAAGACTGGGTACCATCATCCAGTTTCTTGGAGTTGCTCTTAGCTTTACCTTCGTCCATGAATAGGTCGTCGTCGGTTAAAAACTGAGGAGGAAGCCAAAACTCACCGTCGTCTAAAACCTCCGCCATGAGAAACAAAGCAAAGAAAATATCAGAGAAACTGCCCAAAAAGAAGAAAATTTGAGGAGTGTAGAGTAATGGGGAATTGCTGCTTGGTTAAGATTTAATAATAAGCAATTGCATCTCTGTTCGTTTTGCTGGCAACGGTAGACATTGGACCCAGCAAAACCTAAAAGCAAAAAACAAATTAAATAACAAATAGGGTAAACTACACATTTAGTAATTAAACTATCAGTGTTTGTCTGTTTTAGCACATGAACTTTCAATTTTTTAAATACTAGCTAATGTTTTGTTTTTCATTTTATTTTAATACCCTCCATTACAAACTTAATAGTTAAATTATAGTTTTAGATCTTTTGATTCTTTTTAGCACTTAAGATTTTAATCTTTTTAAAATTTAATGTTAAATTTTGAACAAAAGTATTAAAATAATACAAAATCCAAAATTTGTAACAATGATATTAAAATGAAATAAAAATTAAATTTTCATTATAATTTTTTTAAAAAATATATCAATATTAAAATAGATCAAAACTAATAGTTTAGATACTTAACTCATAATTTACCCAAAACATTATTCACAAGGAAAAAAAAAAGGGAACTGGGGGAAAGGGGCAGGAGATGGAGATTTTTTAGTGATAAAAAGCAAAGAAAAAGAGAATTGCAGAAAAAGCAGGGTTGAGTTTCCCACTCTCCGGTGAAGGAAGGATTGCAACACGCGCCCACTATGTTGGTGGGGTCCATGTATGTAGTTGCAGGCCTGTAATCCAGGTAAGTGGGGGCCATTTGCCACCATTTTCTAATTCTTTAGAAAGTTTTAGACTTAAGGCTAATTAATTAATTATTTTTTTTATTAATCTTATTATAAAGTGGTATATATTTTAAATATTTTTAATTATTTGAAAATAAACGTTTAATCATTCTGTTATAATTTCGGGTGGTCGAATCTTTGATCTTTAAGAATAATAATAATTCATTTAATTATTAAGATAAATTGATTCGTACTACTAATTAATTTACTTAATTAGAAGGAAAGATAATCCTAAAATGCGCAATTTTTTATATATATAAAATGTCACTTTCTGGAGGGCTATGCTTTCCACGTGGCAGTCCAGGGACACACTATAGCTTATCTCCCAAAAAAATCTGTATTTTATTTACTCATTTCCACTTGATATTGACTTTTGTTTGCGTTACAAATTTCATTATCCAATCACAAATGAAGTGATACAGATCTTAAATTCAAATTTTGAATTTCTTTTATCCCATTAATCATATAATTTTGATTTGATAAAGCTCATTATAGATAAAAAATTATTTAAATATATGGTATGATTATTGTAATATATTATAGGGTAAACTGCATGTTCAGTACCTTTATTATCACTTTTATTTCATTTTAATCGTCTAATTATTTTTAATTCCCCGCACCCATTTCCCAACTTGATACTCACCACCCATCCCGTATCTGCATGTATTCATCAATACCTGCATAACAGTAACCTCACAGATTACATAAGCAACAAAATATAAAACAAATACATCCATTAAGAAGCATAATAAAATACACCAATGATTAATCTAACATTTGTTTAAATTACAAGTTATATCCTCTAACATCTTAAGATTTATAGAATAATCTCTGAAATTACACCTAAATTCATAATAGTCCAAAATTTATATAGTGGGTAATTAGTGGGTGGGCGGATGCGGACCGGATAAGGTTTTAAACCATCACCTACTCACTACCCATGACGAGTATGACTGTTTACATTCACACCCGCCCACTACCTACTAAACTTATATCCATCTCTGCCCCAATTGAAGTGGGTGCGGTGCGAAATCCACGAAATTGTACTCGTTTGCCATCCCTACTAACATGTCATAAAAAGGTAATATCATATCATCATTGAAATTTAAAAAAAATGTCATGACAGTAGTTTACTCTATAATGAAACTAAAACATAACGATATGCATGATTTTGAGAAAAAATATATTTAAGTGACTAAAACAGAACAAAAATGATAGTTAGAGACAGTTCTATTAATCTTTTAACAACACATAACCAAAATGAACTAAAATGTAACAATATATATGATTTAAAAGAAATAATATTTGAGTGACCAAGACAAAATACAAATGATAGTTAGGGTATTAAATGTGTAGTTTACCTTAAATTATATTTTACTGAAAACTTTATTTTATTTATGTAATTAATGAACAATAACAAATTTTTAAATATTTTACGTATTTGCTACATTAAAAGTTTTAAGCGTAAAATTCTCTCTTAAATTATATTTTCATTCGGATAAATTTCTTTTTCGTTATTTTTTTTTCTTTTATTGTTATTTGATATCAACTTTAATCACCATTCTTTATTATACGTAAATAATATATATAATTATTAGGTGAGTCATACACATGTAGAAAGTAATAATTAATTTATTTAAAAATAATATATAAGATAATAATTGATTCGGCCTTTACTCTTTTAAATTATATTTTAATTCGGGTAAAACTTGCTTCCGTTAATTTCTCCTTTTATTGTTATTTGATAAAATTTTAATCATCATTCATTACTATTCATAAATATAATATATACAATTATTGGATGAGTCATGCACATATATAAAGTAATAATTAATGTATTTAAAATAGTAATTGGCTCGATCTTAACTCCTTTAATTCCTGCTTTGGTGTTTTAACAGCTGTTTGGATATTTGTGTTGAAGTAATTAATTTTCCTAATTATTGTATTCATTTAAATTGATTTATTCTAAAATATATTTTTATTTGTTTATTTTTGTATGTATTAAATCTTTAATTTGTGAAATTGTATGTAAAGCAATAATTAAAAGTATACATGTTATCTTATATTATGCATGTCCAAATAGTCTCTATAGTAGATCGTTATAACACTTAAAAAATGATGGTTGTTTTCCCTAAAGGTTTCGAGTTCGAGCATAAGTGATTATCAGTGATCTCGAGTTTGAGTATCAGTGACTGTTAGGATATTTGAACGTTCATTATCAAATAATTAATAATTTTTAAAACCTACCGCTTGTAATCAACTTAGATTAATAAAAAATGAAAACTTTAATATAAAAGATTAAAACCATAATATTGTTGCGGCCGTATTTCAGTTGGGCCCGGAATTGGGCTTCGACTTGAATGAAATAGTTAGAGTCGCCACCGATCATTTTAAAGAAATATTTAGGTTGATCGGACACCATCTTACCTGATATGCGTTTTACCTGAAATGTGTCGGGTTCGGGAGTCGGTTACAGTCAAGGAAGAATTAGCACCCTTGTACTGCCCTTTCGGTACCAATTAATTTGTCGGTTGTCTTTACTTACGAAAATTAAAATTTAAAAAATCAATTTGAATTGTAAAAATAAAATAAATATGAAAAAACATTAATAAAAAAATATTACTATAATAATAAATGAAGAAATAAATAAATACAATTGAGTAAAAATAAAAAATATAAAAATGAAATAAGATAAAAAAATGATAATAATAAAAAAATGGGGTTAAATATTGAAATTAAAAAAATGTTAAGAAGATAAATATTAACAAAAAACCAAAAGAAAAAAATAAATTAAATAAATTAAATGACCAAATTGAATTAAATTGGACTTTATGGACTGAAAGTAATGCTAAAAATGAACTGCAAGGAAAAAATTAAAGGGTTAATTCGCAAAATATAAAAGTATAAATTGGGATTAAATTGAATAAATTGAAAATTTGAAAGCTAAATTATAAACAGTGACTGAATTGCAATGCGCTTCAAACTTATAAGGACTGCAGAAAGGATTTAATAATCCTCTAATTACAAAGAGGTCCCTAGAATATAAATACCCAAAAACTCCATTTCTAATTCATTTTCAACATATCTCTTAAAACTCACAGTGTTTTGAAAACCGGACCAGATCGGCCGGTTCAATCGGGAACCGTTGCCCAGTCCGGTTCAATCTACACCGGTTGAACCGCTACTAGTGAACCGGCCGGGACCGCTGAACCGTTTGAACCGGACCGACTGAAAACCAGGAAAAAAATGCCAATTTTGTTTTTTTTAAATTAAACCAAACGACGTCGTTTGTTAAACGAACCAAGTCGAACTCAAGTAATGTTGAGCTCGACTTGAACTTGAAAACTTTAAAAGTAAGCTCAACTCGACTCAAAATCACGAGCTAAAAATTATCAAGTTCAAATCGAACTCGAAATATAATATTAAAACTTAAACTTAAAAAAATTAGAAGCTCGATTGAAGCCTAAAATTCAAGCTTAATTGAAGTGAAAGAATAGTTCACTTAATGCTCACCAAAAGGCTTCATGATTTTGAATGTCAAATTACCTCTATTATTTATAGAAGTTAGTTGAGATGCTCTTCTATGTTTCTTAGCCATGTGGGATTGTTTTGTTCTCATATTTTTACTCTTTAGACTTTTGGGATGCTCTTCTATGTTTCTTAGTCATGTGAGATTGTTTTTTTTAAATTAAACCAAACAATATCATTTTGTTATGATTTTTTTAGCCCCAAATTTATTTTTTAATTATAGTTATATAATTATATTTATTATTTAATATGTTTTACCTTAAATATTATGTTGTAGTTAATTTGAATTATTTTGTTTCACTTGATTTTATGATTTTTAACTTATATATATGTTATGAATTGTTTTGAATAAGACTTGTGATATAAAAAATTATTTTTTATTAAATATTTTTGGTATTTTATTTAATTTTTTTAAATAATTATGACGTCGTCTGGTTCTTCCAACCGGTCAAACCGATTGAACCAGTGAATCGGTAGCATGGACGGTTCGCTAACCAGTCCGGTTCTGAAAACCATGAAAACTCATCTTACCAAACACTCAAAACTCTCTCAATTCTCCCCCAACCGGTCAAATGCTGGCCAACGCCCGGTGGCCTTCCCGTCGCGAGCAGCGGCCGAAAAAAAACAAATAGCCCCAAAAGAACCCTTTCAACCTCGTGAACCCGATTACCACAAAAAAACCTCGATCGACCTAAATCTGAAAAAAAAACTTCGGCTTTTTTACCTTTCCCTGTGAACGGTTCGACTTCCCGATGATCTCTCTTCCCTCGAGTCAACACCGATGCATGCACTGATTTTTATTCTCTTTGTTGCTTTCAGA